CAGTTTAATTTAATAAAGTTTTATTACGGATTAAGTTGTTCTGCATATGTAGCTGGCATTTGCGGTTTGAATATTCCATAGCACGCTTGAGGGTCTAAATCGAAACACAGGTTTGGGTCAACTGTTGGGCGTTGCACGGGTGGTGCTTGTGGTACTTGGATTTGTTTGTTGCACACTTTAATTGGCCTGTCATCACCGTTCCCACAAGAAATTAAAAATAAAAGAGGAAGATAATTTAAATACATTGTAAGCTATTGCTGTGGTTAATCAGTTTCAGTTTAGTACTTTCAGTAACCATTTTATACAACTTTTATTTTGTTTACTTTTTACGTGAAATTGTCCATAATCAAGCAATGAAAATCAAATTTTCGAATGTTTACCTAATTTTTTGATTTATAAGAAAAATTGTTAAAAAAACTGGTGATAAAATTTATTCTTTTTTGAATAGTTTTATCCATATCCATGCTGCATTCTTCATTTCTTTGTCATTTTGTAACAATTTCTTGCTTTATTTTAATATTTGAAGATAAAAGAAAAAATTTCGTAAAATTTTAAAGAATCTTCTATGAAGTTTTCATAAAATACGCAGCAGCGTGAAAAGATGTCAGCAAATTTTAACTGCTTTGATTTCACGAAAATTTTTTTAAAATATGCAAAATTCCGGAATTTCAACTCGCACTTCATTAAAGCCTTCGCTGTTATAGGTTGGGCTCATTCCACTGGCACACCGCACTAGATAAATATGCGAGCGAATTCATTGGCGACACTATTAAAAATCAAGAGTCATGTGAGAACTGGAAGATTTCGCATGGATTTTCGTTTCCATTTCCGGTAATTATCAAAATACGAATAATACAAATAAATATTATCACTTGAAATCGCCTGAAATTTTACTTTTTATCGTTAAATATTAAAGAGGCCAATAAATCATTAAAGATTGTAGTAAATAAAAGAAGGAATGTGCGCAAAAATAAAAATAATTTCTGTTAGAAAATTACTTCATCAATGTTATTTTAAAAATAAATGAAGTTTGAGTAAATATTTGAAAATTTGGTTATCGCTGTTTGAACAATGAAAATTTACGTAAAAGAAAGCAAAAAAGAGTATAAAAGGTTTTTCAAAAATGCTAAATTGATTATCTGAACTTTCAGCAAAAAAATAATATCCATTTTGTATTATTAGGCCGATTCAAAAAATTTTAATGAAAAATATACCGAACACCTTCGCTCAATAAAATATCCTTGGACTTTTACCCACATACAAGTGGACTACGATTCTGACACCATTGCTGGCTGAGAAAGTAAAGGCGATTTTGTCAACTTGATTCTATCAAAAATAAGTGCCAGATTCGTGTTTTTCACGAAATTAATTTTCAAATGAGACATAAAATATTTACATACTTATCGTTTTGTTTTTCCCAATTTTTAACAAATCGAAAAAGCAAAATTAGTGATAAAATAATCAGTGTTGCCGATTTCAGCAGTATTTCTTTAACATACCTGGCAATATCCAATCCAATTACGATGGTTCTCGATTTATCCACTGTAAAAATGAATTTGAATTTCAGCAGCAAATTTGATATCGAGTGGTTGCACTGATGCACATACCAACTGCACGTTACGTCGACATCTTTGTGTCATTGATGACTATGGAATTGTGTTGAGAAGGCAATATAGGCGAACTTACCCTTGTAGCCGTTGGAGCCAGCCAGTAATGGTGAGAACTGTTAGAAGAAGAGAAGAAGAAATTTTTTCTTCCTGGAGTCGTAGCATTGGTAAAAATTTTTTTGGGCAACTAGAGATTAATGCCTCACCAAAAATCATTTGAAGAAAACCGGAAATTTTCTCATAGATTTTTATTTCCGTTTCCGGCATTTATCAAAATACAAATAAAATATTATCATATTTCCATTGATTAAACAATTTTTTTAAAATTTTTTCGTTAATATTAATTGAATTTTGCGAAATCCTCCGATTTTAACTTTAAAGAAAACAAATGAAATCCATATTATGTAATAATAAAAAATAATGATTTATATTAAAAATTATTACTATTATTATTATTAATTATTGGTTCTTACTTTTTACAATAAGTATAAACATTCTTATTTTATCGCCATTATCATTAATGTGGTTTCTATTAAAATGTTTTTATTAATAATTGCACCTGAAACGCTTCCTGGATTGCAAGCTTTGGTTTATTGAACAAATACGGGTTATACGCTATAGAAATCATAAAAATTCATAAAAATCATCATATAAATCATAAAAAACAGGAAGATTCCGAAAAAATTTATCGCGCTTCCGAAATCGTCTCAATGCAAATAAATATCATTGCATACCCCGGAATATTAATTTGCGTTGCTTTAAATTCATCAAAATCTTTGCAATGTAAATATCTTAAAATTTTTGCTAAATTAAATTGATAAATTGATAAATTAAGAAAATTATAATTATAAAAATGGCGAAAAGTAGAAATTTTACGCAATGAGTGATAAATGTTCTTTCTCAGATATCATTTTTAACAAGTAAGTATTTATATTATTTCGTCATTTATCATTTGTATAAATGATTACAATTACAATTTTACAATTAAAAAAAAATTTTAAATTTCTAATTTTTACAAATTAAACCATTAAATCATCTTTCCTGTGATAATGTTCTTCTCTTTCACTTATGACTTTAAAAAAAATTTTTTTTTTGTATATTTATTGCAAAATTTTTTAAATTCCAAATTTTTTGAATTTCTTCCTTAACTTAATTGATATTCCTCTTTGATTTAGACTGTTTTAAGATGCAAAGGATTTTAATAATTGCAAAAAAGTAGCCAATTTTTTTTTCTAAAATACACCATCACCTGTCATTTTAATCGCTGTCATCACCGCAGCCATTATCATAAATTTAGATATAAATATAAAAATGGGTTTATTTATGCGTTCATAATTTCAGATAATTGTTATATTACCATTATCGATATAACGAAACATCGTAATAAGTATGAGCAAAGAACGTTCGTCGTGCAAAATCTTGAAATCTTATTTAAACCTTTTATCATTCATTGATTAGAATTCGAGGAGAATTCAATAATTCTTGTAAATCTATAATATAATTTATGATTATTTTGACATCGAATGACATATGACCTCGAAAAAAAAGAACTTATAGTTTATTGATTTGAATCCATAAATTTATTAAATAAATTTATGAAAAAATACACTTATATTTACGAGTGAAAATCGATTAGAATGCAAAAGATAAAATCCCAACTTGCTACTTGCTCTGATACTTTGTGTTCTTCACAGGACCAACATAGGAATAGACACTTATTAAGCTGTGCGATAGATGGCATCGATGCCGTCTGCCATAAATCATGCAAGGGAAAATTTCGGAATCAGCGACATAACGTGGAAAGATGAAAGGCAAATCAAATCAAGGATCTCCGATAAGTTTGATCCCAACCTGTTGTGCAAATTTGATTATATTCCACTTTCATTATTATATTTTATAGGCAGAAAACAAAAGGAATTCAATCAGCGATATCAATAGATTTACCCAAATTGTATTTTTATTCGAATTTCGTTAATCATCGATTAATCGCAGAAGGTTTGATTTATTCAAAAATTATTATAATAGAATAGTAAAGTAAAATAATAGTTATAAAATTTACTTATAATAAATGAATATAATAATAATAATGTCAAAATTAATAACATTCTTAACGTTATCTTCGATGAAAGTGTGAATTAAAATTTTAAAGACCTTAATGGTTCTGAAAAATTTCCAAAAATTGAAATGTTTCTTGAATTGCATTTTATGAAAATTATCATACAATTTATTGCTGAATTTCAAGATGAATCGACAAATCATTCAACAATTAAAAAATCTATGGTAAATAAATAAAATGAAGACATTTTAAAAATTAATAAAAAAATGCTTTATACGGATGAACTTCATTTATCTGCTTTTATTATTTTCTATTTCATGCCTAAATGCTGATAGTATAAAAATTACTATTTGCATAACCAGGACAAGCCTGCATTTCAACCTACACATCACCCAACAGTGGATCCAAAATTTTGTTTTGATTTGGATCGACAAGCATGGGTTAGGAATTTTTAAATTATAAAGATAGACCAACTTAAGGCGTAATAAAACTTCGTTAAATTGACCATTTATTGTGATAGATATCTTTCTGATATCAAAAATCCGTCGATCCGAACTATTAGTAAAAATACATTGGACTTTGCGATTTATCTGGTGGCCGATGTACAGACACCATTTGGATGATTTAGACGAAAATTTAAGAGGACTTTGCAATTTTGATTCAAATAGAAATTTGTGCCAGAGTATTTTCCTCGAGATTGCCTTCAAAAGGTAACAGGTGAGTTGCAAGAAAATTTGAATTTTTTTTTTTGTTCACGGTCCGAAAAGGCAGAATTATTCATAAAAATCACTAATATTAGTCAATATTAGCTATATTTCAATATAGACGGCAAATTTGAAAGACGCTGACCCAATGGATATTTTTGATTTAATCTATTAGGCAAGCGAATTCGATTTTCAGCAGCAACATTGCAATCATGCCATTGCACTAAGCACTAATGCGGATATTTCATCAAAATCTTTGCCACACTGATAACAACCGATACATTGTTAAAAATTGATAAGAAAATAGAAAAAGAAAAAGAAAGATGCAAAAATAAAATAATTTTTTAATAAGAAAAAATTTTTTAGCATTTTCAGTGGTTTTTTTTAGCATTTTTTTTGCAAAAAAACTGTTTAAATATTTGAAAATTTTGTTATCATTAATTATTGACTGGTTATTGATAATTCTACGTAAAAGTAAACAAAATTAGGTATAAAATGATTGCTAAAGTACTAAACTGATTATAGGAGTTAACCATAGCTATAGGTTGCAATGTATTTAAACTATCTTCCTTTTTTATTTTTTGTTTCTTGTGGAAATGCTGAAGATAAGATAATTGAAGTGTGTAACAAACAAGTCCAAGTGCTACAACCAGGAGGGCGAGCTCAAATTGTTCAACGCCCAACAGTCGATCCAAGCCTGTGTTTCGATTTGGATCCTCAAGCATGTTATGGAATATTCAAGCCAGTAGAGCAAGGAACATATGCAGAACAACTTGATCCGTAAAAAAAGTTCATTAAATTAATTAATCATTTAGATCGATTGCCTTCCCATAGATTTGAAAATATGGCTGATTTTCAATAAAAAAAATTAAATCCATATTAAGGCAAACATTTATGAGAAAAATTTATAAGAAAAATTATTGGTTTAATTTTTATTCTATAGAAATGCTTTATTTCAGTACAATGAACTATAAAATAAGTGAAGAATGCCAAAAGCCGAATTTAGTACGATTAGGCGAGCAAATGTGTCCTCGAACGTGTGCAGCGTGCTGCAAAAGCAGAAAATTCAACTGCAGAAATGGTTCTAACTTTTTAAAATAATTTTAGTTTCACATAAATTATGTGATGTCGAATACAATTTTATACATTGAAAAGTTTCAGTTGGACAGTGCGACAGTTTTACTCAAGCAATGTGCAGAATACCTTCTCTCAACAAGATCGCATTAGAAATATGCCCACATACATGTGGACTTTGTGACTTACCTGGTGCTGGTGGCGAATGTCCAGATACCATTGATGGTTGCGAAAGCTTGAGGGGATTTTGTCACTTTGATTCTATTAGAAATATATGCCAGAGGACGTGTTTATCACGAGCTTGTTTTCAAAACTTCACAGGTTAATTACAAGAACATTTACATATATTTCCTTTTTCCTATTTACATATTTTTCCTTTTTCCTTTTTTCCCATTTCTCTAAACAAGGGAAAGACGAAAAGAGATGAAAAAATTATGTTACACGATAATGTTTATCCGACGATTATTCTCCATTTATCTACTGGAAAAACGAATTCAAATTACAGCAGCAAATTCGATATCGAGTGGTTGCTTTGATGCACACGCAGACTGCACGTTATATCAAAGCCTTTGCAACATCGGAGATTATGGAATTGTGATGAGAAGACAGTGCAGGCGAACGTGTGGCCATTGCTGATCCACTTTCGCAACACTATTACAAATATTATTGCTATTATTTTTTTAACTAAAACATATTAAAAGATCACTTATTATTTGTATTGTGTATGTAGTACAATATTGAAAAACTTTTCACGTTTAAATGAACGGCGATTTATTACAGTTTATAAATCATATCAGCGCTTCATGAATGAGGCGAAAATTTTGTGGGAATAAATGTATCGGATAAATAATTGCGTATGATTACCACCATCAGAATCCAATACTAAAATGCATTTGGCGTCTAACAGCAATGTTTGGAGTATAAAAGGTTGTTTTAGAAGATTACCCTTTGAAAATGCAAAATTTCAAATATCTTTAATCAGGCGTCGTCGAATTTCTGAATTTCTGACCAACGCAGTGCTGAAGTATCACATAATTCTCAGTCGAGAAATGGAAATAAGGTTTTGATTGGTAGAATATTTCAGTCTACGAAAATCACATTCGCTGTCTATCATGCGGTAGATAAACAAACACATCCAATTAATTATTGATGTTCGAAAATCTACAAAGCACGCTTGACAAATATTAATAATGTTTTCGTTAGTGGTATAGTGGTTCAACAGTTTTTCGCTCTGCTTGGTTAAAAATTGGAAGAATCGAAATCTAAGATATTGTTTGGTGATATAAATTTTTGATTTATCATTATCACCATATTTCAAGATTTAACCTCGAATTTCAATATAATTTAAATAAGTCCATGAAAATTATTTTGGTCAATTAATTCTTTTATTCAACCAACTATTTTTTTTTTCTAATATTTTTTGTCGTTTTTTTTGTTTATTACGAACTTTCGTTTATCCCTTTTGTATATTCTATTATTTTTTTATTAATTTTATCATTAATAAAGTTAAATCAATTGAAAAATCGCTTAAATATTTTTCATGAAATTATTTTTAAAAAATATTATATTTCCTCTTTGGTCATTCAATCCAAATTTAGTTTTGCAAAGGCGAAATCGGATATAACGATTGATATTGAATTTGGTTTCGATAATATAATGCAACACGTGGTTAAATATTTTTCATATAATACAAAATTGGCTATTAAAAAGATATCTCAGCGAATATTGATGATTTTTTAAACAATAGCGGTTAATGCAATATAATGGAATAGTTACTCGAAATATTGCGTGAAATAATTTTTGGTTTTCAAATTAAATTTCAGATTAAATTGCAAAGTCCTCTTGAATTTTCGCATCAAATGGCGCCTGGACATCCGCCACGAGCACCAGGTTAATCACAAAGTCCACATTTAGGGGCTATTTTACTGAGAAAAGATGCTCTACATATTTTCTCCGTAAAATTCTCACTCCCCAACTGAAAGTTTTAAAAATATGTGAGGGGTTATATAATTAACAAGTTTGTCTTAATTTGATTCGAATGATCTAAATTTCAAAATGTTTTAAGACGTATAACTATTTTGCAGTTGAATTTTCTCTGTTTTTACAATCCTTTCCACTAAAATAACGCATTTCTATATAAATTTAATTTAAATTTAACGTATAGAATAAAGTTAGAATAAAAATTTAGTTAAATTAGAATAAAGGTTAGCCATTTTTATTACAAACCATTGTTGTATTGTTTTATTTAAAATGGGAATGGATTTTCTTTTTTGCTAATATCGGCGGAATTTCGATACCTATGAGAAAGAAATTTATTTGAAACCTGTAAGAATAATAAACATAAAACCAATTTAGTAGCTATTATTAACTATTGTTATTACTTATTATTAACTATTCGAGAGATGAAATTTAGTAAAAATTAATTTATTATTGGTAAAATAATTAAAATATTGTTATGAAAGCAAATTATACTTTGATGAACCTTAAGGCAATTGTTGTGGATAAATATAAATTATTTAGCAAATTTGCTGCTCGTTTTTTATTTTATTTTAATATTATATTATTTAATTAATATTATTAACAAAAATTTATGCGGGATGTAAGTTTTTGTCAATTAGTTTACTGGTTTTTGGTCCGCTAAAAGTTTTTTTCAATTATAGCAACGAGAACCATTTAAGTTTTCTTCCTTTTTTAAATTTTTTCTTGGCTATTATAAATATTTAACACCTAGAAAAATCATTATTAAGCGATTTAGTTCAATAGATTTTACTAAATAATCGCGCAAATCCATGTACTGCTGGTTTCAGCTATATCTTCAAAATCTTATTTGGTTGTGCCAGTCCAAGGCGTGATTCGTCCACTTAGTTTTCGATAACAAATGACTTGCGCCAACGCACTTGATTTTCTTATCAAAAAAATCCTTGCGGCATTAACTGTTCATCGCAATTTTTATTTCTATCGACAAATTTTTTGGCTAGCGTAGAAGCCAGAGAACATGCATAAAGGAAATAATGGATAATATTCACCTTCTTGATATGGAAATATGAAAGTAGTAGATTTTAATGCACACCAATAGGACCAAAATATTTATTTCAATATGCCAAACAAGTGGGCAATTAGGTAGAAATATAGAAGAAAATTCGATCTTAGAGTTAGTAATGACGACTAATTAATGGAAACCTGGCTTGTACATAGTCGAGAATGTTACAGAAGGGGGAATTTTCTCGACAATGACGGTGTGGTAGTCGGTATAAGTTAATGACGAAGATGTTGAACCAGAATAAAGAAAATTTCGATTAGGCTTCAGCATATAAATGCAAATCAAAGTGATATTTTTTAAATGAATACGCATTACGTGAAAGTCCTAGTCAAAGATAATTATGGAACTTATGTAAAGAATATCAGAAATCAACTGGTAGACAATTCTTTTTTCACACGTCATTTTGCATCTTTTCATGAAATCAGTGGTCTGCCCGCAGGCTTAAGGGGAATAACACCTCACAATTGTCGCTTTCATCTCGACAC